CGCGCCCGGCCTTAGAAGCAACATTCTTAACTGTCACTTTCTAGACCGTTGAGGGAAAAGAGTGGTTTTATTTATTTATTTATTTTTGAGACAGTGTCTTCCTCTGTTGCCTGAGCCAGAGTGCAGTGGAGTCATCATAGCTCATTGCAGTCTCAAACTCCTGGCCTCAGTAGCTGACTGTCCTCCTGAGTAGCTGGACTATAGGTGTGTGCCAGCATGCCTGGCTTATTTTTTCTAATTTTGGTAGAGATGGGGTCTCACTCTTGCTCAGGCTGCTTTTGAACTACAGAGCTCAAGCGATCTTCCTGCCTGGGCCTCCCAGAATGCTAGGATTACAGGCGTGAGCCACCGAGCCCACCCAAGAGTGATTTTATAGTGATTTTCACTATTAGCAGGTTATAGGATAGGGAGTAGCTAGTAGCAAAATGGGAATTTTTACGTTGGAATGGCCTCCCTAACAGATCATGTAGCCCTCTCCATCTCATTTTTTGAGGGGGGAAAAAACTGAGCCCTTGCCAAAGTCGGTGGCAAATCTGGGAGTAGTACCCATGTCTCTGGAGTTCTTGTATAGAATTATTTTCAATTGTTGCAATAACAATACTAGTAATCGTTGAGAGTTTTTGAGTACTTAGTATATGCCATACATTACATTCAGCACTTTACGTGTTTTATCTTATTTCATCTTAACAACTTTATGAGATTGGTGCTGTTATTGTAGTCGTTTTATAGATGAAGAAACCAAAGCTTAGAGAGTTAAAGAGCTCAAAATCTCACATCTAGTAAGTGGCAAAGGCAGGATTTGAGCTCAGGCAAACTGATTCCAAGACAGACTTTTTTCACCATTGTGCTGCTCTTTTGCCTGATTTTTCTATTAACTTCTTGAAGATGTGTCATGTTTCATGTTCATTTCCTTATTTTCATAAATGTATTGCTTGTCCACTCAGACATTAGATTGCTAAAACAAACCCAACCCTCTTTTCTTGTGGACCGAAATCCTGAAAACTTCTGTTTTTATTTGTATATGCACTTAAACAAGTATTTTATTATTAATAGTGCATTTATAAAGTGTTTGATTAAAACACTTAGATTGGTGAAAATGCTTTTTTGTGACGGTGAGAATATACATGTCCTGTGAACATTTAATTTTTCAACTTCCCTTATTCTCAGCATTATATTTGTTAATACTTGTATATTAACACATACATCTATGTTAGAGCTTAATTAGAAACTAATCTCTATAAATTGGCTTGTCTCTTAAGTCGTTAGGCAGGTACTCTAAATTCAGAGAACTGTCTGTAAGCCAAAAATTAATGAAATTTCCCTTTTAAAATGGTTTCACAAAATTTAAAGATAAAGAATGAAAAAATGAGGCCAATTATCTGGTCAATTTGGTTTTGATTTAATTTTTTTTATTTGAAAAAATTACTGTCAAAGTTGATTGTTTTTACACAAGTTTTGAGATGATTTTTAATTCAGTAAAGCTATATTGATTATAAGAGTAGATAACAAGTTTTGATAAATTGTATCTTATTTTGAGTCAAACTCAATAATTGCTTCTTTCAAATTGGCAAATTGCACATCAATTTTTATTTACATATAAGATAATTGCTTAAGCTGATTTGTAAGGTAGGTGCATATCAGAAGAGCTATTTTATGAAGATACTGTTTCCAGTATCTTTAACAGACCAAAATAGTATTTTTTTTTTTTTTT